GAATCCTTATTCTTGTAGGTCAATGTGTTAAGAACGTTTACTTGTTAGTACACTTTCATCATAATGGATATTTCTGTTACACTGAACTTTCTTTGACAATTTCCTAACGTACTGAAAGTGACTTCTAACACTTAATCAAGTACCTGCTTGGTGCCAGTAGATCCCAAATGTAATATGCAGCTTACTATTGACATTGGATCCGAAATGTTCAGTCTATAATCTTTATCCGATCATTTCCGATGGTGATTTCATAACATGTAGCTTCTTTTTTAAAATTATTTTTTTTTAGAAAACTTCTTTATTTTTCTCTCTGGTGCCTGACAAAATTGTTACAAGAAGTGTGAAAGAAGTCAACCTAGTTTTCTCATTTAAATGTTCTCTCTAATGTCTATGCAGCGTCACGCGGTCACGCGTATATTATCCTTGAATGTGACGTTTTCCTGTAAACCAAACTTACCATGAAAGCTTGTGGTTTCATCCTTAACAAAATGGTAAAACTTAACAAGGGGATGATGAACAAATTGTGGATATTTGTTCGTTATAAAATGTCATTCCCTAAAAATAAAAATAGAGGATTCTAAATCTTTCAACAATACTGTTTCTTCCATTTTTTCCCCTTCTATCTTTTCATCTCTTCTTAATGAGCGAGGGTTGCAGTGTGGTGCTGGGAATATTTTTTTAAAATTATTTTCTTTCTTCAGTTCTACAAAGTTCTACTTCATGAGTGATGCTGCGGCCTCGACATCAGCGTCTGTGGTAGCGTTATACACTTCACCGTAGCAAGCGATAGACGTTAGTTCGATACTTTAATTCTTTTTCCCTTCCAGTGTCAGCTTCTCTCTGTCAATATGTTTTAATACCGGGTGCCCATTGCGGATGGGATCGGGTCAGGTCGGGTCAGGTCGGGCCGATCGCCCGACTAGTCGCCTGAAAACAAACGCGTTTGTTTTTGAGGCGACGAGTCGGGCGCGATCGGTTTGTGTCACGGTAGCCACTTTGCGCCCTCAATCTGACTAGCAAACCGACCCGATCCTCCTATGGACACCCCGTATAACAAACCCATCCCGAGTCGGCTCTGATAGGCAATGTCGAGACAGCCACTTCCGAAATTGTCTAAATGTAGTCAATGTGGGTGTAAAACCAGCAAATACTGCTAGTTCATGGCGGTAACGACCAAAGTCTTCTTCGACAGTTTCGGTGACATACTGCTCGTTAACAATGAACCAGTGAACGTATATTGATCATCCGCTTTCCTGGAGAGGACTGGCCGGACTGTCGGACATTCCGACAGTGCTCAGTAGGTGGGGGTCATCGAGTTTAGTGTACATCAACATGATGGAGGTAAGAGAAAAGTGCTGACTGCCATTTAGTCTTTCCTTTCTTTTAGGGTAGGAAAAGTTTCAACATTGGTTTGAATAGTTGTATGAAAATTCGGTTATCTAGAACATTGCATTGTTCTAAGAGACTCATAAAAGTTACCCCCCCCCCTTTCCACACACACACACACACACACACACACACACACACACACACACACACACACACACACACACACACACACACACACACAGTAGCATAGCCTGCAAATGAATAAATGAATAAAAATGTATAAATAAATAAATAGACACATAAATAAATAAATAAATAATACATAAAACAATAAAAGATAACTAAAATGATAAATCGAAAAGAAAAATCAGAAACCCAAAACATGCCCCCCCCCCCCCCCAGGACAAAAAGACACCTAACAAGTCCCAAACAGCGTTAGATTTCCCAAACACAACAAACCCCAAGCTCCATGTTGATATGATTGTTAGCTCTTAGCTATATATCCATCCCTCACCGTGGGAAAGCCATAGCACTCAGCAGAGCGAAGCAAATCACCACCCCGAGAATGGAGGAAATCACAGCGTCGACGTTTAATGGCACACTCAGCATCAATAATACAGGACTCGATCACATAAAACTAGTGTAGTTGGCGCTTATTCGTTTCACAGGTAAAATGGCATAAGCTTAAGCATAATAGTCTGCTATTTTGAATTGGGAAGTAGCACAACAAAGTGGAGAAATAAATGAAAAGAAAAAGGGGGGTGGGGTGATTAATTCTTTCTTTTTAACCTTTCACTAACCCCATTCCTTTTCTCTCTCTATCTCTGTTTCTGTTTCCCTTGTCTATTCCCAGAACCCCCCCTCTCTCTCTCTTCTCTCTCTCTCTCTCTCTCTTTTTCTTTCTCTTTTACAGTGAAGCTTAGAAGTATTTGTAAGTCTTATTGGAGATTGTATAAATATGTCTACAACCCCCCCCTCCTTTCTCTCTTTCTTTCTCTCCTCTCCCTCCTCTCTGTACTCTCTATATAATGTAGGCGTGTGTGTCAGTGTGTACGCGTGCGTGTGTGTGTTTGTGTTTGTGTGTGTGCGTGCGTGCGTGCATGCATACCTATCTAATAGAAGTAAAAAGAAATGTGTTTTTTAATTAGAAATTTTAGAATAATTTCGTGGATAGAAAAGAAATCAAACGAGGAAGTACATGGTGCTGAAAGAAGCCTACGCCGGCCACTCAAAAAGAAAGTAACAAATTCATGCTGTTTCAAGGGTACTTGACTCGACATAAGGGCTTTTGAATACTACATCTTGCTCTCACTCGAACAGTAGAAAACAAACGAGGCGGGGGTAGACCAAGAGGAACTTATTTGGAAAACCTGAACAGATAGAGGTGACGGAGAAACACCAGGATGATATAGAATTTTGTAGAGCATCTGAGCGGAGAAATTAATGGTCAACCGTGATCGACGCTGTCTGTTTCAAACTGTTTCATATCTGGCATTTTATGATGATGATGATGATGATGCCTATTCTATTTAACCCTTTTGTTCAACAAGTTGGGAAGAACAAAATCGAGACACACACTCAGAAAAAGAATAATTCCTTTGTTTTTTCCCTGAAACCAGAGATGCCCCCCCCCCCAATCCCCATCAATTTATCCCCGAAAGCTTTGAAAGAGGCATTCTCCACTCACTCGCTCCAGTTTACATTGATCCTTGATTATTGGCCACCTCTTCAAAACCGTCTGTCACCATGCATTTATTTTGTGTTATCAGAAACGTTCCAACATTCTCTTCGATGAGCAAGAATACGTGATAAATGAAATGCTTCCCTACGTCTCAAGCCCTCGTCCCCCAGTCCTTTCAATACATAAAGCGGCTTCCACATCCACACACAGAATTAAAGCCGCCATCCACATTTCTGAAGTACTATTAGTATTAACAATATTTTTGCTTTTTGCGCAGCAAAGAAAGGATTGTAATGTACGAGTACAAGAGATCTACCTTGCAGATAATGATGTATCCAAGTGGGGACTCGATCGCATCAAGCAATGGCGGTTTTTTTTCTTCTTTTCTTATATCATGCACCATGTGCTGCTGGTGTGCACTTTGAATTAACGTATAGCTGTACGGACTCTGCGCCATTGTCTCTTAAGAGTAAGGAGGGATGAACTTCCCCTCCTCCGGTATTTTCACTTCCGTTACCCCCCCCCCCCCCACACACACACACACAACATTTAGAACTTTTGCCTGCTCAGTACGTTTGACCTAGGATAATTTTCCTACACGTTGCATTTCTCTGGTATTTGTATAGTTGTTTAGCAGCATCTTTCCTTCTCTCTCTCTTCTCTCTCTCTCTCACACACACACACACACACAAACACATGATACACATCTACACCACAGGCACACTCTCCCTCTCTTTTTTTATCTTGCCTTTTTAGGTTATTTATAGATCTAGAACTCTTTAAGAAGCAGAGTCCATTGACAATTCTTCTCAAAAGATGCATCCATTGTGCAACACTCTCCGGTTATAGAAAAGTTAGAGCCCAGTTTTTTCTACTTCCACCATAATATTGTTCTTGGCCTTGCCCTGACGCTGGAGAAGTTTTAGGTGAAACTTATATATTGTCTTCAGTCTTCTTACTCCATGCACGATCCATCATCGTCATCTTCTCCATGTTATCCCCCTTTTCATCATTTCTTTCGAGTTTTTTTCAAACATGTCCCCTGTAGGGACAAAGCAAAATTACCTTAGCCCCATCGCCCAAAATCTGTTCCAAGCTCTGTGCTACTGTACTGCCATATATATATATGTATATAAAATATAGCTCAGGGTACAATACTTTATATATAATTTATATATCAGTATATATATAGAAACTATAGTACCGCCAACTATTGTAGTACTGTTCCCTGCCCTCAATATTTGTAAGTCAACTTTGGACAACTAAACAAAGGGATAGAAATTTACTCATTTTTTATTAACATCTTAGTACATGCAGCATTTTAACCATAGTATAAATAAAATATACAATTTTTACAAGAAGCACTTGAGAATTTTTAAAAAATGAGGTAAGTGGCATAAGTATTGGTCAAATGTGGTTTAAAAACAATATTCATTAATTGTTCTTGAAGCTGGATATATAAAAAAGTCAAAGTTGGGATTACAAGTACAGATACATGATGTAAAAGATAGAGAGAAAATAGAAATTGGGCTTATTCACAGTTTCTACAAGAAGCCCTATATTCCTTTATTAAATTATTTCATATTGAAAAGAGTTACCAATCATCTATTCACATGTTCTAGTCCAGACAAAAGACGGGAGCTCTAATTTATTTGTATGGTAGAGACAGTACTGCATACTGCATGCCGTAAGCTGACAACACGCCTTTTTCCATTTTTGGCGCCAAATTTTTCTATTTGCTAAATCTAAAGCCTGATCACTTACCCTACTTGTGTGAAAAAATTGAAGTGAAACTGTGACTAGTTTTTGAATAAATTTGAAATCAAATTCTGAAAGAATGCCTTTTTAAAATAGTTACGCTGACAAAAAAAAAACCTTGTTATCTCGAAACTGCTGTGAATAAAAAAAAAAGGCATTTTGTCAGCTTACGCATACGGCAGAGTAATTGTGTTGATTGAGCAGAGATAGGCAGGGAAAGTCCAAGGCAACCTCAACTGTTTGAGCATGTAACCATTCCACCACAAACTCCATTTAAAGTTATGAACAACTTAAAACTTCAGTCCAAGTTGTAACCAGAAACCAGGAAAATACACAGACATATAAAGTGCTGTTATAATATATATGTATATACATATATTTGACAGAATATTGTTCATGCCATAGGATCGTAGGAGATTGTTACAATAAAGGGTTGGCTTTACGGTGCAAAAGTCTACAACTTGTGGTGAAAATGTAACACAAGAAGCAAAATAGTATAAGTACAGTTCGTCCTTCATCAGTGCATGAGAACTCATATGGCCATTACGTAACCTATACTATTACAGAGTATTTCAACCTCTTTAACCAGTTTAAAAAGCATGATGAGTAAAAAGACCAAAAGTACCAATCTAAAGTTTTTTCTGTCTTTATAACAGCAAGGTCTTCAAGGTTCACAAAGCAATGAAAAACAACATGTACCAGGCACTGAAAATTAACACACACACACACTTGCATACACACATCTGTCATCAATAGATAGACTGATTTAAAAAAAGGTAAAGAAAGCAATTATTCTTCAACAATAAGAGTTATCAGTAAGATTAATACTTCGTGAACAGCGGCAATGAAGCTGATGTTACTCAAGAACTCGTGGACAGAACTTTTAGACGTTTTTAAAATGACTATGACACAATGGTATATTACACAACATTGCAACATCTTTTTACTTGAAAAAAACCCCCTAGTAATTGGCACAAACTTTATGGGCTTTTTCTTTATAAATTAGAGTTTAAGTTTAAACAGAATCATAATACCTTTTTCACATGTGATATCACTAGAGAAACAACAGTGTGGTCGGTCAAAAAGATTAAGACAAGGGAAAGCTCTTTTCCTCACAGGTTGAAGGTTCTCAGTGTGCTTGGTAAATCTAAAGCTTCAATTTGTGGAATGTCTTCTAGTTTCAAGTTGAACAAAATATATCAAAGAGACACTGTTGGCCAGTACTCACGTTACGGAATCAATGTGCAGTTGCCAACAGCCGCTGAAATACAAGCTGCTCTAAAAGGGAGTGTGCCCCACCTTTTGAAACCTTAAAAAGATTTGAATGTACAATTGTGAAATCGCATAAAAAAAGCACAACTAAACAGAATGGTGACCATTGAAAGGAGCCCCCCAAAAATCTTAATCCTGGAATGATTCTTTCATTGTAAAACAAAAGGTAAAACGAGCAATAACAACAGAATGAAGGTAAAAATTTCAAACATTTTTCGACGTTCTGATTTTTTAACAGTACGACACAAAGGACAGGACTGAGCATTCAAATAAATTTGTCCTAAATTTTTAATAAACATTTTGAGAATCTCACACAGTGAAAAAGACCCCCAAAAACTACATCCAGCTGGAACAAATTAATTGAAAATCACAATCTTGCATTTTTGTGCCAAGGCAAATTCAGATGAGCAGTATTCAAAGAACATGTGACTAGAGCACCTTCCTCTACCTTCTCTCTATTATCCGCCCCTGAGTGGAGACAGAGACCACATCCTGAGACCATGATATCATAATGTACACCAAGACATTATTATGTTTGTCAGTCCTGCTCAGCTTCTAATTTCACTATCCTCTATGCTGTGATGGCACCTTCAAGAGCATCATTAATATGCCAAATGAGAAATTGGAATGTGGAAGATTTTAACCATAGAAAGAACGAAATACAAAAGATGCCTGAAAAGAAAGACAATATCACTCAGAACTATGGAGAGTTCTCTGAGCCCTTCACTGCCTGGTCCGAGATTTTGTAAACGTTTATTGCCCCCATCAATGCAGGAAGTACTTTTAATTTTAGTAAGAGTTTTACGGTACTTGCAACACAAATAGGTCATATAAGTGCCGAAGAAAAGAGGTGTTACTGAAGAGCAACATACAAAGAAAAGAAGAGAAAAATACTGCCCAGAAGAAAGACGTACATGGACACCCCATTTGAGACTCGAATACACATTTTTTTGCATGCCAGGCATTAGGGTTAATCATTACTCTACAGACTCTTGTCTAGGTTGAGACTGCCTCTGGCTGCTATACATTGTGATCATGGAGCATACCTGGCAGTAAGAGGGTTCAAATACCAACACCTGCTTTGTTGTCTAGCTTCCACATACTGACCATGAAGTAATCTAACACTACTATTCATATTATAATAACATAAACCACATATGAGTTCACTGTTTATTGGCAGGAAAACTATATTATCATACTATATATATATGTGCAAATCGGAGCATAAAGCTATCAGCTGAGTATCTCATTCTCAGAGCATTGGGTACACGAATGAGTGGCTCATATACATCAAGATGTTATCACAGTTGAATGAATTCACACTCTCCACAAACACTTCAAGACAGTCACCCCTTCCACATTCATTTATCACAAATATAGCTTCACTCCCTCTACAAACACGATACACTATTACGGGCAGTGTAATACAGTCTAGCACACGCACTTCCAACACGCACGTGGTGAACAAATTTTTAGGTCTTAAATGTTTACTTCCATACACATGCTTTGGGTTTAAAACACCAATATACTGAAATTTGTACACAATGAAAAGATTTCCGAGCCTTGTCAAATATCTCTATGCGCATGCTCAACTGTACTACTTAACATTCCTATCATAAAAATCTCAATGCTATATATATTTTGATGAATCTAGCTATGTTTCATAGTGATTTAAGACTGACTGAATTTTCAGGATTGTTTTTGAAATACACTGATCAAGATGACATAAAACAAGTTATAGTTAAAATATAGAAACCTTCTTTTAGAAGTCAACACAGCAATGGTCCCATTGTCAACAGCATATTATTATATTGAGCTTTTAAAACAGAGCCATGGTTTCTTCAAAGGAAATTGAGCCCTCCATTCATGGAAACAGTGGATCTACGAGGAACATTCTGTAAACAAACAAGTAAAAAATCCATAATCTTTCCTTCTTGTTTTGGCTTTTAAAGAAACTATGACAAACCTATAGGACATCCATTCAGACATGGTTAGAAAAAAAACCTAAACACATAAAACGCACTGAAATGCTCATCTGATTTGTGCTTTGATATATAAAGACAGCATTATAAGAGAGTCTTACTACTTTCCATTTAACTACATGTACACGTACATCGCTCTGCAGCAAAGCAATGACACATAAGAGTAACACAATAATTGGCATTTTGAGTTTATACAAAGTCGGAGGGATCAAAACGGTCAGTGGTCAGCTGCCAGAAACTTTTGACATAAAGGGCATCATCACAGACACAGCCATCATCACTACGTTGAGCCACAACACGCAGGGCACGGACACCGCGGTTCACTCAGTCACTGGGTCAGAGTTGAAAGATTCAATCTATGACAACAAAGGCTTGCAGCTGCAGTTTGCAGGAATGTTCAGAATTCACATTATACAACTTGTAGTTTTTACTACAGAATTTATATGAAACCTATGGCAAGGAGTGTTACAGAGGGAGATAAAAGAACAGTTTTTGGCTTGCTATGTATAAGCTATGTAGAGAATTAAATAACTCTCTAGCAGTGTGAAATTGGAAATATAGCACTCACAATGCAGTGGCATGATTTCTGTTTTTGAATGTAAAATAACAACGCTATATCCCAAATACCCAAAAAGTGCTGCGATACAGAAGTAACTTTGAGGAAATCTTCAATTTTTGTGTGATTGTTGAGGATAAAGTGGTGTAATAGTTCCCAAACAGCAAAATTTGATTCAGATTTATAATTTTTTTTATTCACCTCACCATTAAATAATATCATCTGCTTTTGTTGAGGTTATACTAAACAATACTGGACACCAGCATAAAAACATGATTTTTTCCTAGCAAACGACACAGTTCAATTTTGTAACTTGCTTTGAAAAATCATGTTATTCCATTGGTGTCCTATCCTACTTAGTATAAACCTCCATAAAAGCAGAAGTAAAATTGTCAACAAATAACCTCTTGCTTTCACTAGTAGCAACATTTTAAAAATATTCGCGGCGTTTCTTCAACTCCTGGTATAGAACAGATAGCCTACAAGCAACAGAGATCATTCCCAACAGAGATCATCTCTTCGTAATGTCGTCTGTAATTTCTTCATGTCTCGAAGCATGAACAAAGCCGGCTTTCCGAGAGCAGAGTTCCCGACGGGTTTGTTGCAGTTGTGGGGTTTGGGTCGACTGTGTCCGTTCTGACTGCGGTGCTGGTGGTGGTTGTAGTGAGTGCTGACCATACGGCCGCCAGCTGAGTGAGGTCTTTTGGCTTTGTCTCCCACCTTGGCGGTAGCTGAGGCAGGCCGGACTTTCTTCCCTTCATCCAGCTGAGGAGGTGAGAATTTGGGTTGACATTGGACATCAAAAGTATTAAGCTAGTAAATTACATGCAACATATTGTATCAGAAAACATTGTATAGGATAGATAAGAAAAATGAAGTTGTTCCAGCATCCGATCCGGACATTGGCGATTGCCTTGTTAGTGAGACAACTTCCTCGGCCTTCGGCATATTGTGGTAGGGTGGCCAGTTCCTTTCCACACCGCCTTTACTTCCCCAACTCGAAGTCAGGTACCCATCATTGCTGGGTGGGCAGGAGGGGGTGAACAAAATCAGTGTCTGAACCGAGGCTCTAACCCGGACTTTCCGATTCGGAGACGAGCGCATTAAACGCTCTGCCAACACATCCTCTCAGATAAGAGATAAGATGTATCTTTATTGTCCAGATCCTGGCACACTGGTTTGGTGTTTCACCATGTACACACAGCCATACAAACGTACACACACAAACACCCCACACACACAAACAGGTACACAAACACACGCACACTACATAGTTCAAACTATACTGTTTTATATTTTATCTCATACTGTCATACTGTATGATATCATATGACATTTCACATTATACGTTTTATTTCATATAATATTAAATTTAATTAGAGTAAATTACATTATGATGCATTTTATATTATTATATATGCTATACCATTATATATAAAATCATATAACTCCATATTATATTGTACTATACTTTATTTTTCCATTTAGTTATTTTCACAATTTGATATGAACAGGTTGAGCTAAATCTCTAAAATTTATTACAATTACCCAATAAACTAACTGAAACTATAGTCCAACATCACCTCTCCCCTCTTTGCAGCATGTCTACGTGTAACTCTGTTGTTGTTCAGTGAAAACTTTATTGGACATTTCCTCTCTATAAAACAGCTCTGTTCTCAACTTCCAACCCTTTTAAAGATTACAGTACAGGCATCCAGTTTCCCTTGAAACAGGGCTTAGCCTCCACATCCCATCACTACATGGAACACAGCGTTAAGTCACATCTTTGTCTCCATTCTTTTCTTTGACACCCTCTACTAAATTTGTTCTCCTTGCCATAAGAGAATCCTCACTAACCAGCAGAGAGACAGACATAGTCCAGCATCCATAACGTATTCGTTACGCATTTCCCTGCACCCCCTCCCCCCCCAATAAAACGTATTAAAAACATATGAGGGGAAATCTATCATATTAGGTAACTACATCTTTCAAAAGAATACTTTATCCTACTTATCCTGGGTTGGCATTACAGGATGGGTTGCAACAGCTGGTCTATTATCTAAATCAGGTTGAAAAAGGCATAAAAATAAAGCCACTAACTGTTGATAGTGGCCGCCTATAGTGCATGGGTAAATAATTTGTTGGTGCTATTATCGAGTATATAGTTAGTCAAGAATTTCAGCTGTCAGGTCAGGGACATCAAATCAGCAGACTCTCTAAGCCGTCAACAGTTCACGTGTTAAGAATAATCACACAGACACAACCACACATTCTCACCTTCTGCTGATGTTGCCGGACTTTAGCAATCTGTTGACCTTTGGCCTCCATGCGGGAGACCAAAACATCTAGCTCCTGCTCCAGCTGTTCCTGCAGCCGGCTGTCCCGACAGCTGTGTATCTGGTGCATGAGGTCCTGGTGCTCACTGGGGAACACATACACAAATAATAATAATGATAATTCACGAAGTGCCAGATCTGCAACAGACATCGGTGACCATGGTTCTCCATTCATTCCTTTGCTCGGATGCTCTTAAAAAAACTTTGTTTCCCTAACTTTCCCCTTTACCCATTTGTTTAGATTCCCTAAGTAGGTTGCTCTGGGCTTACCCCTGCCTCGTTTGCCCTCAATTTTGCCAGTGAGAGCTAGATGTTCTAGACCTTTATGTCTATTCAGGAGTCCCAAAAAACTGCATTTGTCTTTTCCCGATAGTTTTCAACAGTGAGCTTCCTACGTGGGCTTTATCAAGCACTATCTCATTTGAATAATAATAATAATAATATATGGCATTAATTTAGCGCTCAACCCTGATTAAAGAAAACAGGCTCTGTGCGTTTTATAATACAACAGTAATATATAATCAATACATTGTGTTCTGACCAAAAGAAAATCTCTCTCTAAATATTTATCCCATAAATTTAAAAACTAGAAACGACTTTAGCTGAAATTTGAATGAATTAAAGGATTTGATCTCTCTTCAACTACTGGGCACAGCATTCCAGATTCAAATGGATTATAAAATTCTGAAATTTTCTTCATTATCAGAGCTAAGACTGAAATATTACACTGATGATCAAACTAAGCATGTATTTTTTGCAGATTTTGACAACTGTGCAGTTGAAGAATAATGGCCTGGAGCTCGCTGATTCGCACACATAAAAATGCAACATGGCCATCAGAAATAAAAAATGTCCTTCAATTTCAAATCCATGATTTATATGTCATACTGTTAACCAAATTATACATGTCTCTGCAGATCCAGACAAGTGTGTGTCTTATGTACAAGGTCCTGGACCTGTTGGATGGGGGGGGGGGGGGGGAATAAGCAGAACAACTCGATCATCTAAACCAGTAACTTTCTTCATTCCGAAGGGTAGACCAAGGAGAACTTACTTGGAGAATTTAAACAGATGGTTTAACGGGAAAAGACTACGACGATAGAGTTTTTTTTTATCACTTTGCCGCCTCACCTGGCCGACTGGCAAAGTTCACCACCCAGTGAGTTTCTTTGGAGTTTCCCCAAAATATGATGGCAAAGTGTTAAGGGCATACAAGCAGAGAAATGAGTGGTGAACTTTGACTGAAGATATCTGCTGCAGATCTGACACAAGATAATGATGACAATGGAAATTAATAGAAATACGATTCAAATACATAGTGTTAAACAAATTTTATGTGTCTCTTTACAGAGGTAGGTCGAAAGAGTAACAATATTGTGGCACAAGTTGTTCTTTAAAAACATCAAATCTCGGTATCAAAGTCTCAAAATTAATTTTACTGCACTACTACAGCACACTCCTGTATGGAGAAATTTGCTTCCTGAAATAATGCCTGAAACACATTTTGACGGAAACACTGGCAACCTTTCCCACTCTTTTTTCCTTCCATCTTAGACTGCCATTTCGTCATCTTCATTCTTCATGTGCCATGGATATATCGCTGTCTTTCTTTTCACAGCAAAGCTATATGTTGATAAATCATGGCACAAAAACACCTAGGAGTCCCTTAAACTGAACACGCTTAATAGGAAACAACGGCAAACCAAAAACAAATAAAATCCGTTTTTATTTTCTTATATTTGAGCAGCCTCTCTAAACTGAAAACCCGGCTAAACTGAAGAAAATCTGGCGGTCCCCCAGATTTCGGTTTAAGCAGACTCTACCATGTTTTAATGGAAATTTTCAGACATCATCTACCAGTGACTAACCTGCTGAGCTGACCAAACTCGTCCTGTAGCTGTGACAGGAGGTCGTTAAGCTCCTGGTCAGTGCTGACCACACTGGACCCAGTGGAGGAGGCGGGGCTGTCTGACCTTTGACCTTCACTGCTCCCGTGGTGACACGAATTGGTGCACAGGGCTGTGTTGTGTGACTTCATCATGGCCAGGACCTTTTGCACGTTAGCACCAAGAGAATGACTGGGAGTGGTGGACTGTGGAGCACAGACAGGCACACATTACGATACAAAACACATGGACATTCTTAAAACAAACCAGCACTTATTGACATGCAAAATACATAAAAAATCTCACCACAGGCACATACAGATACAAACAGCAGAAAAAAACGTCTCACAACTAACAGCACATACTGACATAAAAAACACATGAAGGGGGCTCTCGTGGCCTAGAGGTTAAGGTGTTGGCATCTCATTCAAAGGTCCCGGGTTCGATTCTGGGTAGCGACCGAAAAATGTTCTTCTCTAAAATTGTCTCCTTTCACATCATTTCCTGCTCTCTAGCAATGTTCTGTCGCCTGCTTTCATTCCCACATTCTGCCCCCACCCCCTTACCTCCTTTGCCCCCTCCTCTGTGCTCCTGACTCTTTCTGCAGCCTTTCTACTGCTACTCCTTGGCTCCTCCTTACTGCTGTCTTTCTGCCACACCCCTGATCTTCTTATAGGAAAGATCTACACCTAGCCTTCTCGGACAAGGGCGGAAAATCTCGGAGGGCCCGTGTGCAAGTTGCGCACGTTAAAGATCCCTTGGTGGTCTAAAATCGACAAGAGTAGGCTTTGGCCGCCACCCGGGCAAAATTAAAAAATTTCCTACCAACTGAAAATATTAGGTGTGTCCCGAGCGCTCATATGACCGTATGCGGTTGCGAGTGCCGTAAAACACTTTACAAAAACAAACAAAAGAACGTGAAACTTCTCACAACAAACAGGCACATATTGACAAACAAAACATGAAACATACCACATCATCATCATCATTATTATCATACAGTGCCAGATCTCAGACAGACATTGGCGATCATGGTTCTTCATTCATTCCTTTGCTCGGATGCTCTCAAAAAAGCTACGTTTCCCTGATCTTCCCCTGTTACCCATTTGTTTAGGCTCCCCAAGTAGATTGTTTTGGGCCTACCCTACCTCATATCACAACACAAAATAAATAGCAACATATAGACAAACCAAGTATGAAACTTCTCACAACAAACAACTAGCATGAGCAATATTTGGGCCTTATTTACAGGAAAACCGGGAGGTGAACCAGACCATAATCTCGAGCTTCCTCTCCAAACAAGCATACCAGTATGTCAGAGTATGTATACTTTTCTTAAAAGTAATCTTTTATCCCCAATCTCTCTGGTAGAACGGTGTCACTGATAGGAGGATCTAGAATTTCATTTTTTTTTCCTCCTTCAGTGGTTTCTGTCTACTTTTTCTTGCACGAAATAACCCGTATCCTGACAATGTACTTTCTTTACTCAACTTGACTTAACATACAGGAATCATGCCAGGTACGATATTCACTTCTTTGTAGGTGCCCATTTAATTCACTCTAACACATGCACATACACACACACACATGCAAACACACACGGGGGGCTCTCGTGGCCTAGAGGTTAAGGTGTTCGCCTCTCATTCAAAGGTCCCGGGTTCGAATCCGGGTAGCGACTGAAAAATTTTCTTCTCTAAAATGTTCTCCTTTCACCTCCTTTCCTGCTCTCTTGCAATGTTCTGCTGTCTGCTTTCGTCTCCACTTTCTGCCCCCAACCCTCACCTCCTTTGCCCCCTCCTCTGGGCTCTTGACTCTTTCTGCAGTCTTTCTAATGCTACTTCTTGGCTCCCTCTCACTGCTGTCTTTCAGCCACACCTCTGATCTTCTGGTAGGAAAGATCTACACCTAGCCTTCTCGGACAAGGGCGAAAAAACTCAGAGGTCCTGCGTGCAAATTGCGCACGTTAAAGATCCCTTGGCGGTCTAAAATCGATAAGAGTAGGCTTCGGACGCCACGCGGGCAAAGTTCAAAATTTCCTACCTACTGACAATGTGTCCCGCGTGCTCATATGACCTTATGCAGTTGCGAGTGCCGTAAAACACTTACCACCCCCCCACCACAAAAAAACAACCACACACACAGGCAAACTCACACACACCAAGCACACTCAAACCCCCCCACCACTTGATACATAAATACATATATTCAAAAGAAAATCGACTGCTCAGAGTAAGATTCCCCCATACGGCCATTTTTGAAAAGTGACGTATGATGGAGCCTCACTTTGAGTAATTGAAATATACAAGACACAAACATTCTACCTTCCCAGCCACAAAAGGAATCTCTGCCAGGTTCAGTCTATAATGCCTTGAAGGCTCGGAAGATCTGCAGGCACTGGTTGGTCGCTTGACTGGTGGTGCTGCTGCCTTTTTCTTCTTCTTCTTTGGCGGTTTCTTTGTCCTTACCGCTGCTGAAACAGGGGCTGGACTCTTTATTGTACTGGATGGTGCCTGGGTGGAGATTTCTGTTCGCACAGGGGCCATTTTCTTGTCTCGGGTGGCAGTCTCCAACTGTAAGAACACAAAAAGACAAACATCTTATTGTTTGTGGCAAGGTTTGAAAGTACCGTTTTCAAGAGTGACAATATGTAAATTTACTATCTTTTAGATATTAAAAAACTTATTACGGAAATGATATATGAACATGTGTATGTGTGTTTGTGTGTGTGTGTGTGTGTGTGTGTGTGTGTGTGTGTGGAAAAGCATGTATGTATGAGTGAATAATCAAAAGCGTGTGCATTACCATATGTGAGAGACAACAAATAGACAGAAAAATAATATGCATAATGAAACAAAGAAAGGAGTATCTCATTCTCCTGAATCTTTTGAGCTCATCTTTCCACACAGACAGTAACAAATCAGAGGACATGAAGAAAGTGGTTTTTAAAGAAAAGATAAATGAGAGCGAGGGAACAGAAAACAAAAGTCAACTCTTCACCTGAGCCGTCCTATCCTGTAACGTTCTCCTGTGCAATTTCTCTTCCCTCACTTGGTTCTCCAACTGTTTAATTTTGGACTGCAATAAGAAAAAAACAAAACAATGGACAATGAATAGAATAAAGTGAAATGAAATATTTCTACTATAAATTCTCCTGGGAAAATTTGAATTGTGATGGCAAGTACAATGTAGACATATACAGTGGAGTCTGCTTGAACCGGAATCTGCAGGACAGATGGATCCCCCCCCCCCCCCCCCCCGCCCCCATTTAATTAAATGGGTTAAAAGTAGTGGTAGCTCAAATAAATTTTTTTTAAAACCCGGGAATTTTATTTTCTTTCAGTTTACCACTGTTATCGGATTAGATTCTAATCATGTTCGGTTTAAGAGAACTCCACCGTATAACACTTCAGAGATTACATAAATGACCTCCATCAATAATACATGAAATTACAACTAAAACAGACAACTTTACAAATATTACTCAATTGTTAGTTGCCACTGCATGCAGAGTCTTATTTTTTTTGGTTTTTCTCTCCAGTTAACATGTCTTGCTCAAGGACACATTTCAAAGACTACTGACCTAAACACTGTGTTACCAATATTGCTCGACTAGACATTTTTGTGGTTCTCTTGAGCTGACTGGTCACTTTGCCACTGGAGCCAGCCCCCCCCCCCCCCCCGTCACACTGACTACAAGCCTCATAACAGAGGAGGAACAATGAATAAGACAAGACAACCCCTAATATGCCCCAAAAGAGACTTTAAAAAGAAAGAACGGCGCAGATAATAATGAACAAACAAACAAAATTAAAAAGAAATTGTGAGGGAAAAAAAACCCAGTTACTCTAAGGAAAAACAAGCAAATGGCCTGAGAACTATCTTGAGGCATTGATAGATGAGTTCAATCTATATGGCTTATAAATTCTCTTTAGGAATGGAATGTGAAGTTCAAGCTATATAGCCCAAGAACTATTTAATTATCTTAAAGTATGGACAGGACAGTTCCCACTACATAGACCAAGAACTATCTATCTATCTATCTTGAGGCACAGACTGTACAGAATACTCTACACAACCCAAGAACTACGTATCTTGAAACATGAACAGAGCAGACCAAGCTACACGGCCCAAGAACAATCTTGAGACACTAACAGAACAGATCAAGCTACCCAGTCGAAGAACTATCTAACTATTTTGAGGCACAGATAGGATAAACCAAACTACACAGCCTATGAACTGTCTAACTATCTTGAGGCACACCAAGGGAGAAATCAAGTTACACAGCCTAAAATCTATCTGACCATCATGCTAAACAGCCCAAGAATTATTTTGAAACACAGACTGGACAATTCAAGCTATACATCCCAAGAACTATTGAACTACAATCTTGAGGCATGGACAGGACAGACCAAGCCAGAGGGTTGCATGGTCCTCACTATCTCTCCCTCCCCTCCGCTAAAGTATGACTTGACCATGGACCATAGTCTGCATTCTTTATTTATTTGTTGACAATTGGAAGAACATAACATTTTTGATACATATATAGTTTGTAATTCAAAATCTGCAGCATTCTATATAACTATTTTTTAAAAACCAAACCGTTACAAAGATCAAAGAATGAATCTCCAACATCTGACCCTATCATCATCTGTACATCATCAATATCACTTTCAGCAATGTTTAGTAATGGCCAATAGACAACAAAACTCTCTGTAATAAAGGACACAGAAAGAAGGACAACGCAAGGCAAAACCCCCCCAGAAAACAAAAACAAAACAACATAGTGACATGTGCCTATACTATAAAAAAGATGTGTATAAAAATGTGGACTAAGACTCCTTTTCACAGGGTGAAAGCATTCAGAGATCGTGCGGTGCGCACACACAGAGAACACTGTATAATGATGCAAGAAGACAAGTGAGTAAATTCAACATACAGTCACCGAAACGTGGGGCAAACACCATGATTATGCTGATCGTGCAATCAAATCAGGTACTGATATTTTATGGTGAAGAGTACATACAAGCAAAAGGATAAAAAAGGGATAATAGAAAATTCCCCACCCCCCACCTGTTTCTAAAATTACTTAAAAGCGTCTATTGCACATGTCGTTTAAGCGACCCAAATAACTTACACTGTGACTTGTATCATGTTCTCATGCTTTGTATTTTAAAGGTACAAGAGGAAGTTGATTTTTGTTCTTTTCTTTCAATAAGGCTCCATGCTTGTGCATCATTTTTCAGTTTGGGAAATTTCTATTATATGTTCAAAAGGAAGTCTTGCTTGTTTGAACAAAAGAAAGTAGAATATAAACTATAATGAAATACTTTGTTCTGGTACTGCACAGTGAATATTCACATTCAACCTCGGATGCACAGAAAAAAACAACCGTGCCGGGGAAAAGTGTTGTTTCACATCAACCTATAACGTTTAAAAAAACAATCTCAAGGCTCAAAGTAAATGGAATCAAAAGTTATTCACAAAAAACTATGATGTTTTTGCGTCAGACGAACTGCAAACAAAGATGGCAAAAACATATGATACAGTAGACATTGCCAATACGAGAATTGAACTCGTCTCTTTCGGTAGGTCGCACTCAAATCGAAAGGGGATGTAGTACATTTATTAATTTATTATTCAGTGGGAGAGAGAAGTCCTACATGTCACAGTGAGATTTTACCAAAAAATTATTCACAACAGTAAAGGAAGGGAAAAATGTGAGAGTGGGTGGGAATTTTAATGCACACACAACTGTGACGTCACAGATGATCTCACTACTCCAACAAATTGAGATACAGCGCAAAAGACTAAATCTAAACATTCTAATTTTTTCCAACGCTTCTAGCCTAACAGTAAGCACAAAGCTTGGCTTCCCTTTTCATGAGAAGGAAAATTGTCAGTGATGGAAATTCAAAGTCTGGACAAATGTTATGCTTAGGTTTATATAATTTGATACTAAGAAGAATTAACTATCATACCAATTGAAAATACAAATCCCTGATTAGTATTCATATTTCATGCTGTAATTCTTAAGTCAGACAAACTTAATCCTTAAATATTATACAGCATGCTGTTACTTTAAACTTCATATTTCTTATGAAACTGATTAAAGCAGATTTCACACCAGAGTGACAAAAAAAAAAAAAAAATGGTACAGAAGAAAGCTTTTATGTAAGAAACTGGCTATAGTTGACAAGGTGCAACATGAATCTAGTACCTCTGTCTTTTCGTCTTTTACTCTCTGGTGGTCCACATAGAAAATAAAAAACAAAATAGAAAAAAATGTTATGTTATGAATAAAATGAAACAAAGAGTAAGTACTCGAAGTAACAAGCCAGCCCTCTGGAACTTGACCTGGACACAAAATTTCTTCTACAATACATGTATACCAAACTAAAGGGAGGAAATAACTTCCAGAACTGTGTCTCAGCACAAAAAACTAAGGTGTTTTTAAAAAATCAACTAAATAGAATGAAATGAAGTAATAAAATCCAGAAACACTTTAAAATTAGCTCAATGCAAATTAAACAAAGGCACAGTTTTGATTCTGCCCACAAAAAGTTGACAATGACCTGGTTACAAACATTCCACATTTTTTAAAAACTCTTGGATTGAGATCATAGATGACACAAGGCAAATCTTACTGTCAGGATTAACTGCTCCTGTCAACGACTGAAAGACATTGTATCCGTCCATGCACTAAGTCTTCATTTCAAATACTGGATATGCATATAGTATATAGACTCTGGCGATACAGTGTGACTTTCAGCTTGTTTTTAACAAAATGATACCACTACAGTGTGAACTAAAAGACTAAAAACTAAATTCATAACTACAAGTCTCTTGTGAATGCCCAACTTCATGGTAGAGAACATTAAGGTGTGCATTGGCATGAGAAACAGCCGTGGGAAAATTGATTGCAATAAACATAAAGTACAAGACTGAATCTAAACAACACAACACTACCCCTTGATATTCAATAATGCATGATGCATAAATGATTATATTATGTATCTATACAAAAAAATGCGTCGTTCAAACATAGCCAAATTGACATTGTTTGCAGCTATACGAACCATCACCAGATAAAAGATGCCAGACTATGACCACAGCATGATACACAGAGACACAAACAAACAAAACAACAACCAAAGAATGAAAATAAACCAACCACCCAAAAGACACCTTGAGCTACTCAGTCAACAAAAAAACCCAAAATATCAACTTGTGACAGGTCATGGCAAAAGCTTCACAAGCCAAGCACGTGACATCCTCCACCAAAAGCGATAATGGCCATTTTGTGCTAGGGAAAAGTAAGACAAACAGACAAAATGGATGGACAGACAGATGGACAGACAGACAGACACAAAAGAAGAAACATTGGGAAGTAGAATTGGAACATAGTAGCCCCCCCCCCCTCCTCCCCAATATGCTGCTACAACCATGCCAAGTCCCTGCAATCAAGCGTAATAATCGTTGTAAAGCATAAAGTATGCTGTAGAGAATGAATATATGCACTACGGAAATGTGATTATTATAAATATCTTTTCCACTTATTATTATTTATCATCATCACTATCTATCAATGTAAGGTATAATGATCAATCATTACTTGCTGTTGTGTACTATTGTTATTATCACAATTATTGATCTTATTAAATACTATTTGTATCTATATTATCATCATTCTTCTTCATCTTCTACTTTTTTTTCTTTTCATCATTATTACATGTACAAGTATATCATTACGATGATGACCACGAGAGAACAACTGACCTCGGCCAGGGTCTGCGTGGCGGTGAGCCTGAGCTGGTCCCGTTCCAGCTCCTTGAGCCGGTCCAGGTGGACCTTGATGTCCGAGCCGGCCGCATCCCGGTCCTGGCGGGCCTGCAGCGTCTTCTCCATCAGGGAGCGCCGGTCCTGCTCCGAGTTCTCTACCAGCTTGCGCATGTAGTCCAGCTGCTGCTCTAGCACCTGGCACCGGCCCTCGGCGGATGACAGCTGGCCCTCCAGCTCTGAAACAAGACCGAAATTTTATATCATTGCACGTGCGCTGGGATAGTCTGGTGCAGTATGTATAAGTAGTAAGACTGCAGCAAATCTGCACTTATCACTACATGGCATTGGACAGAAGGGTGAGAGCCAAGCTGTTGCTGGATCGATAACAACTGCAACATGTATAAGTAAGAATTTAAAAAAAAGTTTTAGCAAGAGTTTTACGGCACTTGCAACACAATGAGGTCATATAAGTGCTGAAGATTATAGGTGTTACAAGAGAGTAACAAACACAAAAAAGAAGGAGCAGAGATCAGGACAATAGATGTTGGATAGGAAAGGAGCAAACCACACCAGAGCATCCACCAACCACCCACAAGTAAGAGTGTCAACATGCTTGCAAATGCAAAAGGTCAATTTTATTTATATAGATTTGTTCTTCAAAGCATAAATTCACAGTATGGTTGATTTTTTGGATATTCACTTGGCACCAGCCCTTAGCAAACGACAGTTCTGAAACAGTTCAGAGATTGCACGCGCTCAGTCTACTGCGGTATAAGTAAAGATTTTACGGCGCTCACAACAACATCATGTCAATTTTATTACTATGAATTTGTTTTTCAACGCATAAATACACAACAGTAGGGCTGGTTTTATGATGTTGCAAAATTTCCACTTCCCTCAACTTTGGTTAAATAAAAAATAAAAAAACATATATTTTTCAAACTTACACCTTAATTCTCTTGATATTGACAAAAACGATATACCCCTAGTTGAATTTCACTTGTTCAAAGTTTTGTTGAAATTGGTAAAAAAATTACAGAGCTATTTCCCTTTAAATGGTTATCTTCCCCCCCCCCCCCCCCCCCCCATTTCTTTTCTTTTACAAATATGATCCAATTCTATCTACTCCTGATGTAGCTCCCGAGAACCATTTGCTTGTTAGAGTAAAGAAAGAGAAGCACATCGACACAATAATAGCCATTTAGTGCTGGGAAAAGTAAGGAAGACAAACAGAAACAACAGAGAGAAAGTAAAGAAGTAAGACCTACCAATGGCGCCCTCCAACCACCCTCTTCAAGTGCCGAGTACTGCCAATAAAAAAAAATAAAGCTTGCAGAATGGTTATGGCCAGGAAGTAGATAGTTTTAAAAAATACCAGAGCATGTGAACCACCTTTGTGCACTTGTCGATGTGCACACACTCCTACTAGATTCTAGACACTGAACAACTTGTATGATATTGGGAAGTAACTTAGTCAAACAACCGGCCACCGCCCTGACAGCCAAACGGACAGCAATGACCACATACAGAGACCTACGCACACAAAATACGCCTACACACAGCAATACGCGCGCGTGCGCGCATGGCACACACTAACACACACACACACACACAAAGCCAACACCATCATATCAAACACACAAGTAGACAGACAGACAGACAGACAGACAGACAGACAGACAGACAGACAGACAGACAGACAGCACCTAAAACGGAAAGCAAATGTAGGCAGGAATGTTGAAGAACTTCGCCAGCCAGACTAGTGCTTAATGTCCCATTAAAATGTAAGATACAAAACCAGTCGTTCTCCATGCACAAACACAGTGTACAGAGCGCATGTGTCACAACACGGCGGAATCAGGCGCTCGTCAAATTTTGGGCACATGGAGCTATTGGTATAATCTTAAAGCCTGTTCATTTGCCTTGCTTTTAACGAACCCCCCCCCCCAAAAAAAACAAACAAAAACAAACCCAACAACAAAAAACAAACAACAAAACAAAACAAAACAACAACAACAACAACAACAAAACCCAGCAGCAACAAACAAACAAACAAACAAACAAAACAAAACAAAAAAACAAACAAAAATAAAACAAAACAAAAAACAACTTATCTATCAAGGATATAATCTGAGATACATTATGCGATTAAAGGAGGTATGGGCCGCCTGGTGACAGAGGTAGAAATAACGAGAAAATGGCCGCAACAGTTTGGTGAAGTGTAAATTTAGGGTTTTTTGAGTTTTTTTAAAAGGCGCCTTTGATCAGCAAAATCCGTGCAGGAATGTGATTTTATGTTTTTTGTTTTGGTAAGTGTTTTACGGCTCTCGCAACTGCATAAGGTCATTTGAGCGCGCGGGACACATTAAACATTAATTTTCAGTTTGGTAGCATTTTTTAATTTGCTTGGGTGAAAGCCGCGCGCTACTCTTATCTATTTCGGACCACCCAAGGATCTTTAACGAGCACAACATGCACACGGGACCTCCGAAATGTTTCGCACTTATCCGAGAAGCCTAGATATTCGATCTTACCTACCCAAGATCTGGGGTGCGGCTGAAGAAAAACAGCAGTAAAAAGGAGCCAGGGAGTAGCAATGGAAAGGCTGCAGAAAGCAGAGATGAAAGCAGACGAAATAACATGGTTAGAGAGCAGGAAAAAAGGTGAAAGGACATCTCAGAGGTGCGCGAACACTGAAACCTCTAGACCACGAGAGCCCCCATGTGGTTTTAGATGGATATGAAAAGTGTAGAGCCCAAATCAAGAAAAAAATCGATAAAAAATAGTCCAACGCGAAGAAAAAATGTCGGTTTCTTCGATTTCAGTATCTTGACGAGCACCTGATTTCACCACAGTGTCACGCAAAAGTTTCTTCAATGGGCGCGTGCTGTATTAGACAAACGCACTTGGACTTCTTCTCTTTAACAAGTAAAAACTTGGACCCAAATACGCAGCCGTTGCACCTCTCTTGCACAAAAGTGCGAAGCTCTGCCATGAAAATGCATGCGCCCGAAAAAAACCCAACTAACCCAAACAAAAAAGAAAAAAAAGTGAGCGCGTAAGTAAGTGAATGTTAATGTGCAAGGCGAGAGCCTAATGCCATTAAAATCTCCAGACAAAGGCGCTTTCATTGAATGCACAGCTATGAGAAGACACACTCTATTGTATTGAGTGTGAAATTATTTTCTACCCGACCTGTGAACACCCCCAGTAAGATCGTCTTTCGCTCTTGCAAAATTGTGCAAAAGGAAAACTAAAAACGTTATCTATATAAAAGCTAACTAACAAAAAAGCAACAAAACGGCATAAAAAAGTAGAGAGGGTCATCCAAAATTCAAAAGCACGAGTTCATATATTGGATTCTTAGCCTAGAACCGCAAGGCGACAAAACTGTTGGCTAATGGTTTTGTCGGTGAACTGTAGACAATGAAAACAAGAGAAGCCGACCACCTCAAAACAACACATCTGTTTTGTCCTGCTCCTCTTATTTTCGTTTCAGAAATAATTTTACGGCACTTGCAACACAATAACGTCATTAAAAAAAAAATAGTTGAGGGTTTTATAGCGCTCGCAACTGCATACGGTGATATGAGCGTCAAGGGGTGGGTGTCAACAGAGAAGTCTTTACAGGGAATCAGACTTACTCTGCTCACCTCTCTAGTTTCAACAGCACAAGGTCTGCTTCGACTATCAAGGCACCCCGGAAATAGCAGGTCACAAGAGAGTGACAAACATACAAATGAAGTAGAGGAAAATGACAATAGTAAGGATTAGGAAAGAAAAAGCAGCAGTTCCTTGTTGTAGATCAGGCACAGATATGAGAGTGACATGAATCAGCCCATTTACAATTCTACTGTGCTTGAACGAGAAATGCCCCCCCCCCCCTTTGGGAATGGCCTAAAGACACTACAGTCAGTGGCACTGCCTCAGGGGGGGGGGGGGGGGGGGGGGGACGGGACAATTAGGTACAAGTGTCGAAGATTAGAAGTGTTACTACAAAGTAACAAATATGAAAAGGGGGGAAGAGAGACAAGGACGACAGATGCTTGACAGCAAAAAAAAAAAAAAAAAAGGATCAAACCACACCAGAGCTTCCGCAAACCATCCACTATCTTATTTTCATTGCCCATAACCAAAGCCTACTGTATTTACGTTTGAGTAAAAAGAAGCACATCGACACAAAACTGACTGGTCATTTAGTGCTGGACAAAAAGTAGTTTTAGTTTTAGTAAGAGTTTTACGGCACTCGCAACACAATAAGCTCATATAAATGTGGAAGATTAGAAGTGTTACGAGAGAGTAAAAAAATAAACCCAGAAAAAAGAAGGAGGGGAGGTAAAGACGAAAGATGTTTGATGGGAAAGAAGAAGCAAACCACACCAGAGCACCCGCCAATCACCCACGAGAAAAAGTAAGACAGACAGAAAGAAAAAAACAGAGGGAAAATAAATAAGAAGGATCACATAGTGGCACCCTCCAACCACCCGCTCATTATCCCCAACTATATTTTGTTGGCACTAAAAGCCTACGATAAAATGCTATGAGTGGAGGTAGAAAGTGCACCTAAAAGTGCAGAACAAGGGACATTATTCAAGTCTGGTTGAATTCTCGATCATACAACGGTTTCCCACAAATTAAACTTTAAAGTGCCCCTCAGCAACCTATCATCTCCCCCTCTCTCCCTTTAAAAAAAACAAACAAACAACCCCCCCCCCAAAAAAAACAACAACAACCAACCAACCAACAACAACAACCCAAACAAGATCTAAAAAAAAAGACCCAAACAACATAACCCATAAAACAACACTCGCCAAATCACACACACAGAGATGCAAGCGTTATGGGGGAAAAGAGTATAGCCACAGACAGAGGGAAACAAGCTAAAGAGAGAGCGTGAGAAATAATTGCAATGGTTCCATGTTTTACGCCTACATCCACACAATTCATATTGTTTCGGAGGAGGGCAGTTTGTATGTATGTATAGTATAGGGTTTTACGGCGCTCGCAACTGCTAAGGTCATATGAGGGCAGTTTCGACCTTGCCTATCAGGGTAAACCCAGGCTGAGTGGGAGACAACAGCCAAGCAAACAGACGAGAGACGCTATGTAAAAAATCTTCCCTACTCAGGTATAGAACCTACGCCTACTGCGAGAAACGGCAAATAATCTTACAGCTAATCTACAACAGAAAGAGGTGGGGTGGAGAGAAGAGAGAGAGAGAGAGAGAGAGAGAGAGAGAGAGAGAGAGAGAGAGAGAGAGAGAGAGAGAGAGAGAGAGAGAGAGAGAGAGAAAGAGAGAGAGAGAGAGAGAGAGAAGAGAGAGAGAAGAGAGAGAAAGAAAGAGAGAGAGAAAGAAAGAGAGAGAGAGAGAGAGAGAGAGAGAGAGAGAGAGAGAGAGAGAGAGAGACAGACAGACAGACAGACAGACAGACAGACAGACAGACAGACAGACAGACAGACAGACAGACAGACAGACAGACAGACAGTTTTTATTTTGTTCAATACAATCTGGATCTACCCTTGCCTCTATTTGCCTTCAATTTTGCCAGTTAGAGCCAGATGCTCAAGTACTTTAAAAATATTCAAGAGTCCCAGGAACTGCATATTATTATTGTGTCTTTTCTTGATTGCTTTTTTTTTCAGCCAGCGGCCCAAGAGGGCTTCTTCAATTACTATACAACCTCGAGCAGCCTATGTGGGTTTCTTCAATTACTATACAGCCTCGAGTAGCCTTTCTGGGCTTCTTCAATTACTGTAGTTTTTAGAAGAGTTTTTTATTTTTTGTTTTTGTAGAGGTTTTATGTCGTTTGAAACTGCATAAGGTCATATGAGCGCCAAGGGGTTGGTGTCAACAGAAAAGTCCTTACAGGGAATGAGACTTACTCTGCTCACCTCTCTAGCTTTAACAGCACAAAGTCTGCTTCCACTATCAAGGCACCCCGGAAATAGCGGGTCACACAAGTGTGACAAACATACAAAAGAAGTAGAGGTAGAATGACGGTACTAAGGTGGTTTAGGAAAGAAAAAGCAGCAGTTCCATGTTGCAGTTCAGGCACAGTTATGAAGATGAAATTGATGAATCAGCCCATTTGTTTTAGTAGAGGTTTTACGGCGCTCGCAACTGCATAAGGTCATAAGAGCGCCAAGGGGTGGATGTCAACAGAGTAGTCCTTACAGGGAATCAGACTTACTCTGATCACCGCTCTAGCTTCAACAGCACAAAGTCTGCTTCGACTATCAAGGCATCCCGGAAATAGCGGGTCACATAAGTGTCACAAACATATAAAAGAAATAGAAGAAAATGACGATAGTAAGGATTAGGAAAGAAAAAGCAGCAGTTCCCTGTTGTAGTTCAGGCACAGTTATGAGCATGACAGTGCTGGATCAGCCCTCTTACATTTCTACTGTGCATTAGAACGAGAAATGTCTCCCCTTTGGGAATGGCCTAAAGACACTTCAGTCATTGGCACCCGGGGGGGGGGGCGTAATCAGCCCATTTATAATTACAATTTTGCTATGCATAAAAACTCGAAATGTTGTCCACCCTATTGGGAATGGCCTAAGACACTTCAGTCAGTAGCAACGCCCCGGAAGGGGGGGGGGGGGGGTAGTAAGAGTTAAACGGGATTTTCAACACAAAGGTCATACAGGTGCCGAAGATTAGAGATGTTACGAGATAGTAGTATACGACTAAAAAAAAGGGGAGGAAAGAAGGAGCAAACCAGGAGGGATAAGGATGATAGATGGGAAATTCGTGTAAAGTGTCTTTCCCAAAGAAACAAAGTCGGACTGAGCTGAGGATAGGGAAAGAAGGAGCAAGTCAGGAGAGATAACGATGATAGATGTTTGATGGGGGAAAGAAGGAACAAACCAGGAGAGATTAGGAGGATAAATAATGTTTAATATAAAAGAAGCCTGAGCAAACCACACCAGAGCACCCGCCAACCGCCAACCTTCAAGTACCGTTCCACAACCTCCCAACTCACCTCGGGTCTGGCTACCGACGTATCCCCCGCCTCCCCCGCCGTTCGTGACGGGGCCACCGGCGCCGCCGCTGCTGCTGGTGTCCGTGTGTGTAGCCTTTCGGTCGGAGGAGACGAGCCCCTTGTACTGCTCCGTCTCCTCGGCCAGACATCGCAGGTTGTGCTCCGCGGCCGTCCGCTCGATCTCCAACTTCTTCACCTTATCCTGGAGGTTCCGCAAGGCGGAGATCACCGCTGGAGGTGAAAAACAACAATTAGTAGTAGAGATAGAATGTTATATACTATTCCACATATTTAATTGTTCAAGGGGACATACAGCAGAGCATCCTGTTAGGAGGTAAAAAAACCTACACAGGAGCGCACAGTCAAACCTGATCTTACGATTTCCCGTTTAAGTAAGTCATCCGTACAGACGACCAGTGCCCACTTCTCCTCTTGCATTTTTTCAATAATATCACAATGACAGTTAAATAAGATTACCATATCTAAGATGGCAAAAGGGTGGTCGTCTTGAACAAGTTCGATTGTATTTCTATCTCCGTTGATTACAAAGTACCCATTAGAAGCAGGTGCAGATTAAAAACCTCCAGACGAAAGGTAAACTGAAATGGTTCGGGCTCATTACAAGATCACTACGACAACCCTGTAGGGCACCCTCCAAGGAGGTTGATCTGAACGTATTTAAAAATTTTTTTTTTAAAATTCAGTAAGAGTTTCACAGAACTTAAAACAAGTAGATTACTGTATAAGCGTCGAAGATCAATTGTGAAATGGTATAGGTTTTACGCCTTTCAACACTATTAGGTTATTTAACATGCGGGACCTCCGAGTTTAACGTCAATCTCCAAAAGGACTGAGCCAAATGGGAAGTTCGTGTAGAGTGCCTTTCCCAAGGACACAACGTCGGACCGAGCTGAGGCTCAAAACTCAAAACCCACAATCGAAGATTAGAGGTGTTACAAGGGAGTAACAGACATACAAAATGAATGACGAGAGATAAGGGCAACAAATGTTTGATAGAGAAGGAGCAGAACCTCCGCCAACCACCCACTCCCAGAAAGGACAGCATGAGGCTGAGTGACATACTGAAAGGGATAGCAGAGTTGGAGGTCGTCCGTGATGCCCTAATGGCTGATGATTGATGGATAGGTGTGAGGTAAAAGATCAAAGGGAAATAATAAAATACCTTTCTGTTGGACACAACATTCAATTCGGCGGAACTGAGATTCGAACCCCTAGATCTTACAACAGCAAGGCATATGCCGATTAAAG